GATCACAGCACTGTTTTGCGTCTCTGAGCAATGGACGGTGTTTACTTATTGAATGAATCAGCTTTTTTAACAAATCGGTTGATAAAACTGATTCAGTGATTCACTCATTAACACTCATTAACACAGTCCAATGCTTTGTTCCTGAATGAATCAGCCGTTTGAATGAATCGGTTGAATCTCGATGACTCACTCATTAACAGTCACTTGCTGCCACCTACTGGCGGTTTTAATTTTACATTTCTACTATTTTTTCATGTTTTAAATCATTTCAAATATCAGTATTCATCGTTTTAAGTTAAAAACAAAACATTAGGCCTATTTATGCATCTGTAACTGCAGGTTTTTTTTTATGTTTTAAATCATTTCAAATATCAGTATTCAATGTTTTATATTAAAAACTAAAGATTATTTATCCATCTGTAGCTGCAGGTTAAATGCATCCATGTCCCCTCTGAGATAATTAAACTGTGTAAATACATATAAATGCTATTTCAGATGCAGATTCCAAAAATGTTTTCTTATGTTGTAATGAAAGACACTAAGTACCGGATGAAGTGCTTCTTGTTCTTACCCAAAAATACAAAATGGAAGAAAGAGTTAAAACTGAACACAATCTTGCTACTCAAGCCATTTTTTATATATATTTATTTGCTTCTTTTCCATTTTGCATTTACTTGTACTTTTACTTTCAATACTTAAAGCTGCAGTCCGTAACTTTTGGCGCTCTAGCGGTTAATAAACAGAACTTGCAGAAGAACATTGTAGCCAGAGCTACTTCTCTCTGTTTATGTCTATGGCGGATCACGCAGGTACTGGGCTACTCCGCAGCAGTACCTACCCGAACCAGTCTAAATAGTCCGAATATAAACACTTATTATAGGTGTACCGTAGTGGTTCAGTACAAGCCAAAAACACGGTTTGGAAAATGGATTCATTGTGTACTCGCTTATTATATAAATTTTGTACATTTTGAACACAAAAAAGTTACGGACTGCAGCTTTAAGTATGTTTAAGATTTTAAAAAATACCTTTCATACAATAAATATCACATACTTTAAGACTTTCACTCAAGTAATATTCTAAACGGTTACTTCAACTTCTACCAAAGTCATTTTCTGGTAAGATATCTGTACTTTTACTTGAGTATGGCTTTCAGGTACTTTATACACCACTGAACAGGAGTCACTATAAAAAAGCACAGAGCAAACTAAAATGCTGTGGTTGGGCATGGCAATGTGTTCTTCTCTCCGTTTTTCATTTGTTTAACACTATCAGGTTTAGTGTAGGTGGTACATAATTTTCAAATGCACTAGTATTAACCTTTTAGCGTCACTCACCAGACATTGCATTTCTGAACTGCCACATTACATTCAACAACCAATATAATAAAACATTAACAGTCATCTGTTTACAATAAAACTGAACAGGCTTTTAGTGCCACTCATTAGACATGTCACTTTAAAAGTGTTGTAAAGTGTTCAAGAAGCAATTTATGAACTATTGCAGAAATGTCACAAAAGGCATGTTTTTCCAATGAGCCTGGGCTGTTTTTTTCACCTTATCCTGTTATAATTACTTTTCTTGTTCCATGTTATCCTACAAAACCCGAGAAAAGTATTTCTCTGAAGCCACACATGCTGATGACACAAGAGGGATCCGGAAGATTGGTGCCAGCTTACAATTTACACATTTTTGGAAGATTTTACATCATTCTTCAACACCTGGAATTAGTTCATTACTTTAAAGTTCCTGCAGATTTTTTATTACAACTTTCAAAGCCAGATAGGTCTGGAAAGTTTAACAAAAACCAAAAAGACAACTTGCCCACTGACAAAACCGCAAATATTGATTTAGCACATGGCCGTTTTTTCAGCCCAAGAGAACAGGAGCAATCTCTGAACACCGAAGGATAATTTGGATGAATGAAGGGATTAAAAAGGAAATCAGATGAAAGAGTGTGGATGGGGGGATGAGGGTGAAAAGATGAGTTAATGAGTAGGGATCAGGCTTTGGCCTCTCACACTCATTACAACCCACACTACTAATCCTGCACCATTCCCACAAGTGCGCTGTTTTGTTCCCTTAAAAACACATTCCTTCACAAACTCTGAGAAAGGGAGAAGGCGTGTGGATCTCTATGTGTGCGTGTGTGTGTGTGTGTGTGTGTGTGTTAAAACTGAGGACAAGAGGTGGGGGCAATCAGTGAGAGGGAAAGAGAATGACTGGAGAAACAGGAGATATGACTGGAATTCCTGAAAACAATGATATTCAACTAAATGGCTGATGTTCATATAGACACACTCTCCCCCTCCCTATTTCTTCTCATAGAATTAGCTGAGCATTCCATTCCGCGCAGCAGTGGTGTTAGGATTGGGATCAGATCTGGGAAGAGGCCGTCAGCAGCACTCAGGGGTTGCTCAAAAGAAAGAAACAGCAGATGGTGGCCTTTAGTGAGGGCCCTGCTCTTTCAGACCACAGGATGCACAAAACTATATGAGAAAGAGCTCTCTTTAACTAATGCCCATTCTCACTCTCTCTAACCAGTTTGTAGGTATGAGCCTTCGCTAGCAGATGGCAAGATCATTGAGAGCTATTAATTCTTTGAAAGGGTAACATGTTCTCTTAGGAGACTGGTTCCTATAGAAAATGTTTGGTTTCAGTAAAAGAAAGTAATTGAAAAGTGAGAAGAGGGGAAAGCACCAGAATTTTGAGACAAACTGATTTTGACCTTTTATATTTTCTTTGCATTTCAGTTTTTTATTTTCATGGTTTTATCAGACAAAAAAAAAAACATTGTGATTGGCACAAACATATTTTATATAGTTTTTGTCATATATCCTCCTACACTTTGTTGTTTTTGTCATGGTTATAGAGCAGTGTTTCTCACCCAGGGAGCCGGTGCCCACTAGAGGGCCTCGAAAAACTTCTAAGGACCCACAGGATGACTTAAAATTATATAAAATAATACAACCTAAATCTGATATAAAATCAAGATGTAAACTGATTCCTGTGTAAGCTGAACATACAGGTCTTAAAATTATGGAATCACAAAAATAATTGTGGTTATTGAAACATATGAAAAGTTTGAAAACAAGCAGCTTTGTAAATTACAGCAGAACATTCCAGAGTAAATATTATAGGAAAGATAATATTTACCAAAATGCTCTACATTTTGATTGCACACACAACCTTTGGCATCAACAACAAATTATATGGGAAGAGTATCTCACAAGTAATATTACACAAACAACAGTACTGTTCAGACTAAAAGCACAGGTGTGATACTGCATTTATACAACAGTTCAATAAACATTTTAGACACAGTATGGTTCCACACAAAGCCACAGCAGAACTTAACGTCTCTGAGCAAAACAGCGTAGTGGAGTGCACAAACTGGTTAAGCAAATGATTCAATGACTCAGTCAATTAAGCAGTCACTAGCTGTGTCTCATTTCGTAGGCTGCACCCTCTTTCATCGAGGCTGCCTCGTTTCCGAAAAGTAAGAAAGTAATTTACATCCCACGAGGAATACCAGTCAGTTTATAAATGAGACATTGATGAAGTATGCGGCCAACGAATGTGACCTCAAGAGGGTGCAGCCTTCAAAATGTTTTGTTCCTGAATGAATCAGTGTTTTGAAAGAATTGTTTGAATGAATGATTCAATGACTCATTCATAAAGACAGTGACTTGTCGCCACCTACAGGCATAACAATGTAATCTGCAGATAGAGTCAATTAAAAATTTCCACCACAAATATGGAGTATGCATACGGATAAGCTAGCTGATATAGACAGTGAAAAGTCCCAATTATGTTAAACTGTGTATCAGATCTGAACACTGTTCAACCAATCAAATTTGAGGACTATAACTAACTGTTGTATAAGCCTATTTATTTTGCTGTCCAAACTATTCTCTACTTTATATGGTAAAATTGTATGGTTGTTTGCATGTTATTATTGCCATTTAGCATTGATTTTTCACTGCTGTTAGTGACCCTTAAGGCAGATCTGAGACTCATTTTTGGCTAGTGACCCAGGAGTTGATCTAAAGTGTAAGATCTCCAGACACTTTGGTCTGTTCTTCTGCCAACACTTCTCAGGAACTTCTCAATAATCAACCTCAACACTGACGGTACGGTTTAGTCTACTACTAGACTTGATCTTCATGCCACATCTTATACTCAGTTTAGACAAAATGGCCAAGATATTCTCTTGAAAGTGTAGCTTCTTGAAAGCAAATGTGTAAGTAAGCATTTACTTACACAAAAGAGTAATGTGTTCATTTCCACAAAGCTAAAACAGATGGAAAAATTACCAGAATGAAATCATCAAGCTGTGAATATAATTTATCATAAGCTGGATGGAACCAGAATTGCATAAAATAACAAATGGGACCTGTTTTCTGTGCTGGTCTTCTAGAAGAAAGTATGTGTAGCTAAATAATATGTAGCAGTTAAATGTATAATCATTTACTCATTCTCATGCTGTTCCAAACCTGTATGACATTGTTTCTAGTTGAACTCGAAAGAGAGAGTTCATTGATTTCTTCCATTTAGGGACAGATGCATTAAAATTCAAAAAGAGCATAAAAAACTGATCTAGTAACAAAACTTAAAGTAGTTAAAATCTTAAAAATCTTGACACCAGTGATCCACTTCTTTAAAAAATAGCCTAAATGATTCATTCACAAACTAGACTCATCCAGTTCTCAGCAATCCAGCCAGAACAGGTAGAAGCTCACTGCAAGTAAAGAACGGTGAGAATTAGTGAATGATGACATAACATTATATTAAAATATTTAATATTGCTTCAGAATACTTAGGAAATCGTGCATGAGTCAATATGTTTAAAGGCATAAGGGTGTATAAATGACAGAATTTTCAATTTTAGGTGACGTATTCCTTTAACTCACCTCAAGTTTCCAGTGTACTCGTTGCAGATTAATCCTTATTTATTGTGTAGGTGTTTGGGTGTGTTTATGTCTGTATGTTTATGCATGTGGGTTTATGTGTGCAAACCCACCCATCTTCAGAAGCAGTCTAATGTTTGGAAAGCATGGAGCTATCATCTCTGCATCGCTGCATCCAGGATCACATAACCCCAGCTTAGACTGTCTGAGTCTATGATAGACTTGCATAATGTGATATCATTTCAAAGCCATGGCAGGAAACAGACAAAGAGGGTGGAGCATTTATTTGCAGATGTATGTGTCTATATGTGGAAGCGCGAGAGTATTATAGCAACTGCTTGCACAGGTCTCTCTGTAAATACTGTAGCACCTGTGTAAATGAAGATGAGAGCTGTCGTCTATTGAGCAAGAGGATAATAGACAGTCAGACCCACTAAATAAACTCCTTCGCCAACAATGATAGACAGAAAAACAGCAACAGCCCATCACAATGACAACAGTTTGCATCGCTGATCAAATTTAATTGAAGTACATACAAAATTGCTAAGGCTTATATCTTTCACTGCATCTGTATCTATAACAGGTTTGTGTAACACCCTTGTGAAAAAGTAGTACACTTTAAATTATATACTTTATTTTTTATATACATTTACTTTACTTTATTGTTTTCAGACACTTAATTGCATGTTTAACTGCAAATATATTACAGTTTATTACAGTTTAAATTTATATTAAATGCAATTAGCTGAACTTAGAGTGCTTCAGTACATTTTTATATGTAATTTCATAATAAATTCTTTGAAATTTGGTTAAAGTGTACTACTGAATATACTGACAAGAATTTATTTATACTAATTTATTCACATTAGTTCTTTACCTAATGTACTTTAAAGTATGGCAAAATATTATTAAAACAATGATTTAGAATGTACTTTAAAGTAAAACTTTTAATTTGAGATTACAACTAATTGCACTTTTTTGGTGTATTAGGAAACATAATCATGAACATGTACTCTATTTAAGTTCATTTAAAGGGATAGTTCACCCAAATTGAAAATTAATTTCCTAACATTCCACTTGTTACAAACCTGTATGAGTTTCTTTCTTCTGCTGAACACATAAGAAGATATTTCGAAGAATGTTGGTGACCAAACAGTTGACGGTAGCCATTGACTTCCACAGTATTTTTTCAATACAATGGAAGTCAATGGCTACCATCAACTGTTTGGTTATCAACATTCTTCAAAATATCATACAGGAAATTTATACAGGTTTGGAATGACTTGAAGGTGAGTAAATGATGACAGAATTTGCATAAGTGGCTTTTTTTATTAATATGTGACCCTGGACCACAAAACCAGTCATAATTTTTTTTAATTGAGATTTATACACCATCCGAAAGCTGAATAAATAAGCTTTCCATTGATGTATGGTTTGTTAGCATAGGACAATATTTGGCTGAAATACAATTTGAAAATCTGGAATCTGAGGGTGCAAAAAAAAAATCGAAATATTGAGAAAATCGCCTTTAAAGTTGTCCAAATTAAGTTCTTGGCAATGCATATTACTAATAAAAAAGTAAGTTTTGATATATTTATGGTAGGAAATTTACAAAATATCTTCATGGAACATGATCTTTACTTAAAGGGTTAGTTCACTCAAAAATGAATGTGGAAAATGTAGCGAATCGATGCGTTTTTGTAAGAAAAATATCCATATTCAAAACTTAATAATCACTTTAATGTAGCTTGCGCCAACAGTTGTACACGGAAGCAGCTCCGGGTGGATGAGAAATTAGGTCAGCGCTGCGCATGCGCTGGTGAGTCTCGTGAAAACCAATGTTTGTTAACAGGAGCAAAGGAAGCAAAGTTTCCTTACTTTAGCAAAGGAAAACCAGTCTCCTCTTGGCTTATATCGAAATCCTCCGACATTCTTCTGTACAAATCCTCGTTTTGTACTTCTAATAAGTGACCGTTGTTTTGTTTTGATCTCTCCGCTGTGCTTCTGCGTGCGTCACTTCTGTACGGCGTATGCGCAAAGCTGACCTCATACGTCATCCGCCCGGAGCTGCTTCCGTGTACAACTGTTGGCGCAAGCTACATTAAAGTGATTATTACGTTTTAAATATGGTTATTTTTCTTACAAAAACGCATCGATTCGCTACAGAAGGCCTTTGTTCACCCACCGGAGCCGTGTGAGACACTTT